GTGCATTTGTAATGTACCCTTATTCTTCCTTTAGTCTTCATCTGGAGTCAGGAAGAACCACAGAACATGGGTCCATGGTCCTTTGTGTCACCACGGTTTGAAAAGCAGCTGGGGGTTAAGGTAAGATGTCCCCATGGTGTTGTAGTCTTTAAAATGAAGTTTGAAATTTTCCAAAATTCTGTGGTGCTTACACAAAAAAATAATCCTGATGTCTAAACCAAATGTGTGTTCTAATTTAAACTACTTATGCTCTTTATAGCACTGTTTAGTGGCAATGAGCAGGACTGGAGCTTTCTTTTACTGGGTGTTTAGTCTAAGTAGATAGGATGATGAAGGATCCCAGATAGGAAACAACATGCTTGAAGTGAGTAGGAGGAGAATGCAAAGCTGCTGTTTGCTCTGGCAGATCATGCACCTTAAGGTTCTTGGAGCCATGGGCTTTGGGAGATGAAGGGTAACTTCCTGCATTACTTCCAGCTGGGACTGTCCAGTATCTGACAGTAGATCTCACCATGGCGTCAGCGGACAACAGGATGCAATCCTACACTTGTGCTTCATTAATCATTTCCTCCTGACTCTAAATTTCAGCTCCGTCTTGTGAGTAGACCTCCTTTACCAGCCCCAGCAGTTGGCATTGGAACCCTACACCACCAGCAGCAGGAAGACATTCTTACCAACACATTTATCTAAGTTTTCAACGAACGGACTGCTCCTAGTGTCAGTCATGTTTGGTGCCTCCTCCTGTGAAGAAGAACAAAAGACAGACCCTTAAGACTCTTAGTTCTCCAAAATGTGAAAAAAGAATGGAACAAGTTCTGTAATAAGCAATTTTTTCATGTAGGGGAATACCTAAAGATGAGAGGTGATGCCTGTTACTCTAGGTTCTTCTTGTAGTATTTTCTACAAAACATCTTTTTAAAGTTGGAAATCCAGTCCAGGGGGCAAATCGGTGAGGTGGCTATAAAATACCTTGTATCGTGTTGCTTATCTGCACTTGACAGTTCCCTGGGATGGTGCATGTGTGGAAACAGTGCTGTTCGGTTGAATAAATGCTTCCCTGTGCCTGGGACTGAGCCATTTCTCTAGCAGAGTGTTGTGGATTTTCTCATTTCTTCTCCTATGGGCCAGGAATGAAATCTCTTGCAGCTGTTGGTGCTCTTCTCAATGCACGAGTTGTGGGGGAACCTTGCAGGATGGCTCCCGAGGGCTTCAGGCACCGCTGTTTCTCTTGCCCAGAGAAGCAGGGCTTTCACATCAAGCTTGCAGGGTGGAAGGCATGCTGCAGGGATCGTGCCTTATTTTAGAACGGTATTTTGTAGAGGCCAAACCAATTTCTAGAGGCTAGCCTGAAGGGTGACACTGCCTCCTACCTGGGAAATTCCTCTCAGTGTCCTTCTTCCAGTTTGTTATTTGTTTGGTTGTTTTTAGCCCCAAGACTGTACTGTTAAACTGGTCCATTGGTTTAGGCTTCTGTGTTGACAAGGAATGTGTAACTTCTCACTAGTAAAGCCAAAGGCAAGCACAATTAAGAAACCATCTCTTTTCCAGTCCCAGGCTGCTGTGCTGTTTCACCCGTGGCCTGTTTTCCAGGGCTTACTTCTGCTCAGTTTCTTCCTTCAGCAGTCCTTAGTTCCCACACAAAATCTTGCTCATGCTAGAAGAAGGCTGAAGTTGTGACCAAGTAAGAGCAACACAAAAGAGTCCAAAACTGCGGCAAGCTAAACAGAAAAGTGCAATAAGGCAGGCTGCAAAGAGTTTGAGGGACAACTTGCTGAAGGGTGTAACAGTGAGGCCTCTTCCAAATACACCAGAAGCTGGAAGGGCAAGAGAGGTGGGAGAATTAGGAGATTGAAGTGGCTCGTAAAAAAAACCTGCTGTGGCAAAAAATCCCAAACATTGAAGGGGCTCATAAAAAAAACCTGCTGTGGCAAAAAATCCCAAACCTCATGGCTTTTTTTGGTTTTGTTTTTTTTTTTTGTTGGGGGAGGTCTTCATCTAGAGGCATGTTGGGAGGTTCCTGAGCAAAAACTTCTTCACAGTGTAGGTATCATAGACATCATCTTGAAAAGGATGCTCAAACAGATACAGCTACTCCAGCCCTTTGAAGAAGTTCCCAAAATGCACCTTTGCTCCAGCAACAAGACAAGGCGAGCAGGAGAGGGCAGGGACTAAAAGGAGTTGAGCTTTAGCCCTCACAAGCAAGGCATGACCATGGGTTTTGCCTTCTCACAGCTTGTTGTGGTGTAACCTGGCAGGCAGCTGAGTACCCCCAGCCTCAGTGAGATGGGGGAAAGAATTAGAAAAAAAAGTAAAATATGTGGGTTGAGATGAAGACAGTTTAATAAAACAGCAGAGGGAAAAAAAAATACAAAACAAGTGATGCACAATGGAATTGCTCACCATCTGCTGATCAATGCTCAGCCCATCCCCAAGCAGCAATCGCTGCCCTCCACCCAGCTCCCCCCAGTCTATATACTGAGCATGACATCACATGGTATGGAATAGCCCTTTGGCCAATTGGGGTCAGCTGTCCTGGCTGTGCCCCCTCCCAGCTTCTTGTGCCCCTGGCAGAGCAGGGGAAGCTGAAAAGCCCTTGACCAGCATAAGCACTACTTAGCAACAACTCAAACATCAGGGTGTTGTCAACATCATGCTTATACTAAATCCAGAACACAGCACTGTGCCAGCTACTAGGAAGAAAATTGCCTCTATCCCAGCCAAAACCAGAACACAGCATCTCCTGAGAGCTCTGAGAGGGCTTCTCCTGAATCCCATCTCCTTCTACCAAGAGCAATTCTCCTTCCCCCCACAGTATGTGGGAGCTCTGTGTCCATTTATAGGGCTGGCATCAGTGTCGGCTGGAGCTCCACAAAGGATCTGTTGGGGCTCCCTAAGGGCTCTGTTAGATCCCTTCTGCTCATGTGACTTTTTCAACTTAAGAAATGCAGAAAAAATGTCCCTTGCCTGCTTGTTCCCAGACTGTCCTCCACTCTCAACTGCAGAGACATTTCTGTAGCCAAATGCTCTGTACCCCAGCAGTCAGCACCTGGCTACTCAGAAAGAATAAATGTTAAATTCTCATATCTAAATCCTGCAATAAATTCTGATAACCCTCATTTTACAGACCATTGCCTGTTAACTCTGAAGAAGGTATGATACCCGTTTCAGTGATACCCACTCCCAGTCAGCCTCCGTTGTCAGGTTCCCTTCACCCACAGACCTGTGATTTTCCCAAATTACCTGTGAAATTACCACGTCCACTCATCAGTATGAGTGGATTGGGGTACTAGTAAAACAACACCGGGCCCAAACCACTAAATCCGTGCTTTTCTGATCGATACTACCATATCAACAACATCAGGGAATCATAGAATGTTTTGGGTTGGAAGGGACACCTAGAGGTCATCTAGTCCAACCCCCCTGCAGGGAGCAGGGACACTGCTAACCAGATCAGGTTGCTCACAGCCCCGTCCAACCTGGCCTTGAATGTTCCCAGGGATGGGG